CATCGGGCTCCCTGCTCAGCAGGGAGTCTGCTTCTCCCTCTGACCCTCCTCCCTCTCGTGCTCTCTCTTTCTCTCTCTCGCAAATAAAAAAAATAATAATAATAATAATTTTTTTCTAAATAGGACATTACCAAATAATCTCAGTAGGTGTGGTGCTCCATACACCTGGGACATGGGTGCATCCGGGTGATCCGCTAGGATCTCCGCATACTGTGGTCTCTCAAATTTGTAGAGTAGCTGAGTGCCCAACATCACATTGAAGTATTCCTTTATTCCTGCCACAACCTCATTAACAGCATACTCCCTGATACAAAGACAAAAATATTTACTTTCAAAGCAAGTCACTGAAAAGAATTGAGAAATGGGGATTAATTCAATCAATTAAGAGCAAGGGACTTGAAGGCTGAACTAATGGCAATGAACTTTTAATGAACACGTTTTTTTTTTTTAAAGGGATTTAAAGAACAAGAAAAATCAATTCCAAAAATAAACCAGTTGGTAAGCTAACTACAGCCCTCAGGCTAAGAATATTTTAGAAAAATTCTCAAACAACTGTATTTTACATGGTTATATATGCACTTACACATAATAGCTTCAATTTTACCTAAAATATTTACTGTCTGGCCCTTTAAAAAAAAAAGTTTGCCAGCCAAACCCATGTCAAACCAATGAAATTCTATTTTGCTGGTTTCTGATGGCACTAAGAGTAAGCGGACGTTTCAGAGGATTTACTTGAAAATAATACTTAAAAGAAAAATATCTTTGTGTATACTTAAAAGATTTATATGTTCTTACTTATTATCTGTGTTTCCTCGAGATTTCTTGTAATTTGCATAATCCTCTAGAATGGAATCCACATTCTTCTTGGCGGGAAGATAAAAGAGCTATGAAAACAAAAAAAAAACAAATACCATAGTATTTTTTTTTTTTTTTTTTAAAGAAAAATTACACTGGAAAACCTTTAATGCAACAAAAGACCACCTAACAGTTACGAAATAGGAAATGGCGCTGTTCAGCACTTACAACATGGCTACTGTGGCTGAGGAACTAATAAAAATTTTAGTTTAGTTATCTCAGTACATAGCCAAATGTTGACTAGAGGCTGCCATATTGGACAGCACAGCTCTAAAGACCAGTCATCTGCTGGACACACGTTCCTTCTACTCACGATCTATGGAATGCACCACACAGAAATGTAGAAATGTACCTCCCTGACACTGACATTATTTACTGTATGTGGATCATGTGCCAGACCCTGTTGGAAGCATACATGAAATCTCTTTTCATCCTCACATCAGTAGTGGAAGGTAGGAACCTACTAAAACACAGACAGGCTGAGTCCTCAGTAACTGGTAAGGTCAAGGTTTGAATCCAGCAGTTCAGCACCAGAACCAAATCAAGAACCAAATGAGTTCCACACAGCGTCTAGGACTGAGGTCTCTGGAGTCTCCTGACCCCCACGCAGTCTATACACCCCCATTCCTGCCCATGCCATCTGTTCTAAGAACTTGGTTCATCGTCTGATAAAGTCCTCATTCTGGTTTTGATGGCTGCACCCTTATGATGGTCACATATGTCCCTCATAATGCCCTATTTCCCTTACACTAGTAATCAGACTTGGAGCTGGAGGAGATTCAGGTTCTTTTGGAGGCCACGAATACCTTGCAGGAACTATTGTGTGCTTCCTGTTACATTCCACTAGTAGCAACATTATGTGAGGATATCCCCTTTTCAATGACAGTAGAACAGGAAACACATGCTTCTTTGTCCTTATCAATTTTCAGAACGATTTCCTATCCTAGCAACCTCCAAAATGGAGTTCTCTCCACCTTTTCTCACTATAAACTCATGGGCCTTTTATATATGTACTTTGTTTTAGTCCTCTACAAGTGAGGCCTTCTGATGATCATACTGTTCAGTCTCTGAATTAAAATAATACTCATCAGGGGCGCCTGAGTGGCTCAGTCGGTTAAGCGTCTGCCTTTGGCTCAGGTCCTGATCCCAGGGTCCTGGGATCGAGCCCCACATCGGGCTCCCTGCTCGGAGGGAAGCCTGCTTCTCCCTCTCCCACTCCCCCTGCCTGTGTTCCCTCTCTCGCTGTGTCTCTCTCTGTCAAAAAATAAGTAAAATCTTTAAAAAATTAAATAACACTCATCAGTCACACCCCTGCTATAGTCAAGTCTATACAATTTTTTCCTTAGAACTTTGTTTCACACTACCTAGAACATCTATAGATGACTGTGTCGCTTTCAAGGTACCTGTTTTTGTCGGGTAATTAAGTCCCAATCATCGACAAGCCATGGTTTTAGCTCTTCAGGAATCTTCACTTTCACTTCAACTCTGTTCATGAATGTTTCCTCCTGGACAGAAAGGGGAATGGCATTAAAAACCCACCTTTTCTCACTAAACAACAACTAAAATTCAGGGCTTTACTCAATCTTTAGAGGCACTAAAGACATAAATTAATTCTTTAAAGTACTCAAATGGACTGCCAGAGTTGACATTCAAAAATTCGTACACGAAAAACCCCTACAGCTAAGCTGATGGGAGATAAGAATCTGGTCTTCAAAGATAATTGGTCTATTCAGTGCCTTTTTGTGTGAAGGCACAAATTCTTCAGCACATTTTCTTTTCTTCTGCAAATGAGCACTCAGACTTGGTGCACTCTAACGGTATTTTCATATTTATTGTTGATATCCAAGGACTGTTCCAAATATGACTACCTTGAAACTACTTCTTTAATACATAAAATTAAATGTACGGACTCCTAATGAAGTCTTTAATCCAAAGTTGCCAATTCTCAGAACACAGCACTCTAAGTTTTCTAATCTCGGCTTCAAAAATATAAACTGTCAGTACATTAAAATTAAATTAAAACCCTACTTCCAGGGCGCCTGGGTGGCTCAGCTGGTTAAGCGACTGCCTTCGGCTCAGGTCATGATCCTGGAGAGCCAGGATCGATTCCCGTGCATAGGGCTCCCTGCTCAGCAGGGAGTATGCTTCTCCCTCTGATCCTCCTCCATCTTGTGCTCTCTCTCTCTCATTCTCTCTCAAATAAGTAAGATATTAAAAAAAAAAAACACCCACTTCCAAACTCATTAACTTTGGAAATTAGAAATAAGACATTTTATCACTTAGAGAAATTCTAAACTCATATACACACACATATATGTAGAATGGATAAAGCTTTTGTGGGGTTTTTTTTATGGGTTTGTTAAGTCATCATGGGACATACTAAACCATTTAACGTGAACTGGTAAGTCTATACAGTCGAACATCAATGAAATATTAAGTTCTGTACATCAACAGAGCTTGAAAACAAGTATCTGATGATGAGCTGGGGAGGACATACATAGCAGGGACATATTCAGAGCTACAAGTGAAATAAATAAAGATGTATTTAAAAAACCCCTTTATCCAAGAAGAGGAATATTTTCATTTCAGTAGTTAACCAAATTAACAGTGTTTTCGAGACTCAAGTTCTGTTTTATTGCACAAACTAACAAATGCTAAAATGCGATTCATAAAGTTGAGGAGATACTCACATTCTCCACAGTGGGATCCACGCGGGCCCTTTTCTTGCGAGGAGGCGGAGGGGTCTCGCTGGTGCTGCCACCGTCCCCATTTCCAGGTGCTGCACAGATTCAGGAGAAGGAGGGAGATTTTCAGCTTCACATAGGAGAAACTTGTAAGGAAAACAGTCTCATGACACCCCCACTGTTTTCATTTTCCCATTACACAGGAGTTACTCAAATCTACCGTAAAGAATCATAGTCCTACCAAAAATATAAAGTTCTACCAAACACTTAGCATAAGGCAACATTTACAAGATCTTACATTTATTAAAAAATATTATCTTCTCAATCATTAAGACTAAACATAACACAGGTTTCCCCATGGTAAAAACAGTATCAAAGTTGGGTCTCTACTACCCAAGTACTATACTACTATATACTGGATTCTGGAGAATGTTGCTGTGATTCATCTTTGACATGACCAACAAACATATGCTTACTCTAAAGACTCTGTAAATTTTAACACTTAATACTAATTTCAAAATGTAAATGCTGTAAAGATAAAATACTTTTAAAACAAATTTAATATTCTTACTTTTCTGTTTGTTCTTTTTGGTTTTCCTAAAAGGAGAAGGAAGAAAAGGGAAAGAATAAGTGATTACTGCTAATAAATAAGTTCCCTTTTACCAGAGTTAAGTTCATAAAGAAATACTGCCTTGGATAATAAGACCAGGCTGTGAATTAGTTTCCTGCTCAGACAAGAATTTTCACTGATAGTTGGCTAAATTCACACCTCCCTCCATATAATACAAAACTAAACCAAAACCACGCTGGAAGACTTCCATGATATTACTGATTTACAAGTTTACAGCATATGCTATACAGTTTATAAGAATCTTACATTATTAGTTCTACCCAAACAAACTTCCAAGTTCAAGCAACCCCATCAGCTCAGTCCGAGAACCTGATGGGACATGTGTGTGCTCCACCCTCAGGGGCCACTGTCTGTCTCCCTGTACTTCTCTCAACTGGATATTCTGTCCTTTTCTACACCTAATACTCTTTTCTTCCCCTACACAGAACAAAGCTAATGTCTCCTTCCTCTTGGTCATCATCTCTAACTGCAACTTAACTCATGTATATTTACAAACTAGCAAACAGTAAATTATTCATTTTAATTTCATACACAAATATTTAGAGAATACAAGAAAATCATGTGCAAAGCCCACGACTATGGGCTACATCTGGTGGGACCAAACCAGAACACCAGAGTAGGCTGACTCTTCTACTGCTTTAAAAAAAACATTTATAAATCTTATTAATTGTACTGATCTAATTTAGAGCATGAGATTCATTTTACAACTCAAATTAACTTATGTTTAGGGATAAGTACAAAAATCTGGCCATCTGAATGTACAAGATTTTTCCTGTTTCTCCAAGTTTAACTTCTGGAACACAAGTACTTGTTGGACAGTATTTTTGGGTCAGATTAAACCATGAACTTTTACTTATACATGTTAAAAACAGGTGGGGACCAAGAGAAACCTAGAGCCCTGACACGTATTCCTTACCCACTCATTCTATACCACAAAATTAAAGCAAAAACACTTGACAGCTGACCCTAACTCTGAAACCTATAAACTATACTTCAATGAATCACAGCAGTAAAGACTCACAGACTTCTTGCTTCAACCTTCTTACTTATATTAATTAAACAAGCAAGCTAGTTTCTCAAACTAGGCAACAGATTTCCTACAATAAACTGCCTGGTGTTGTCTTAGCCCTATGACTTAGTATTATATAGTCAAAACATCAGCTGTTAGATTCAATTTAAAGAATAACTGAAATCCTAAGTCATTCTTTTTTTTTTTTT